CTCTACTCTACTCTACTCTACTCTACTCTACTCTACTCTACTCTACTTTATTCTATTCTTTCCAAATTTCCGGGAGGCCCGTTTTTCACCCTTCCCAAGCCTCTGCGCGTACCCTGCACTTACCTGGCATCCAAAACGGGCCATGTGGGGACTTCTGGGAGGGGAGGGGTGGGTGGGGCCAGCCAGGAGTAGGATTTGGTGGTTCTCTGAACTGCACAGAATCTTAGCTAGGGGCTCTCTTGAACCCCTGAGAACCCCCAGCCAGCCCAGCCCTGCCTCCGGGGCCCCGTTGAGCAGGCTACCTGAACAGCCGTCGGAGAGTTCTCACCTGTGCTGCAAGGAGCTCCAGTTCCACCCACCCTCCCACCCAGCCCCGAGCAATTCCCAAAACCTCCCCCACCCCAATTCCTCACAGCAAGATCTGCTGCTGCCTGACAGCCTGACTCACCTTCATGAAGGGGCTGCAGAGCCAGTAGAGCATGCGGCTGGCCCGGCCGTAGTAGCGCAGGATCTCCGTCCGGACGATGCCTGGGCTAAGCACGTTGGCCGACACGCCTGTAAAGGAGATGCCCTGCCTGAGTGAATCCCAGCGAGAGGAGTCTGTCGCTCATCCGGCCCGCAAGAGGGGCAAGAGCCATCGGGCAGGGCCTCTGCGGGGAGCACCTCTTGGCACCTGATACTAAACTGGCCCCAGCCCCTCTCTGGTGGGCGGGGAGCCCTGCTTGGGGTCCCCCCCCCCCAGCACACAGACTCTGAGAAGGGGCTCACACATGACAGAGCCTGGAGAAGAGCCAGGAGAACTTAGAAAGGCAGAGCACTGGGGAAGCAGAGGGAACGGGCTGGACCTAAACCCATGATGGCGAACCTATGGCATGCCTGCCGAAAGTGGCACACAGAGCCATTTCCCCCGGCACGTGAGAGCTTACCCAGAAGAGCCCCGCTGCGCATGTTGCCTGTGCTACCACCACCCGACAGCTGATTGTTGGGTATCTGGTGCGCATGCGTGGGGGGGGGGACGTGAGAGACGTGTGCGTGTGCAGAGATGCACAGCGCACGCTGAGGGTCGCACGTGCATGCGCAGATGTGCGGCACATGGAGGGATGATTGCACGGGCATCCCCAGATGCATGGCGGGTGGCGGGGGAATTGCACATGCATGCACAGACTCGCGGTGCGCAGCAAGGGGATTGTGTGTGTGCATGCGCAGATGTGCAGGAAGGGGATTGTGCGTGCATGCACAGATTGCGATGCACTGCAGGGGGATCGTGCACGCATGCGCAGATATGCGGTGCGTGGCAAGGGGATTGCGCGCACATGTGCACGGTGGGCAGCACTCATTGCCTTCTGGGTGCTGGCACACGAGCGCAAGCGCATGAGCATGCGCACAATTATCAGCACGGGAGCCGGGAAAGGTTTGCCACCACTGATCTAAACTGCACACAGGTGTAATTTCTGCCCCAACTTTCTTCTGTTTGCAACTTCTCGCTCCGTGATTTTGCGTAGCAAAATCCCAGTGGTGGGATTCAATATTTTTTAGTACCAGTTTTGTGGGTGTGGCTTGGTGGGCATGGCTTGGTGGGTGTGGCAGGGAAAGGATACTGCAAAATCCCCCTTCCCTCCCCACTCCTGGGGGAAGATTATTGCAAAATCCTCTTCCCTCCCCAGCCCACTAACCTGCTTTCCAGCTCTGTTCTCCTGTGCAGGACAACCAAAGGAGACCCAGCCGATCAGCTGGGACTCAATGGGAGGCAGAGAAGAGATGGGGTTGGCGGGGCCAGTCCGAGGTGGCATTGGCCGGTTTTCCCAGCTACTCAAAATTCCCGCTTCCGGTTCTCCAGAACTGGTCAGAACTGGCTGAATACCACCTCTGGACCCCAGAGGCAGCCATATGCTTACCGGTGCCCTGCAGCCTCCGGGCCAGCTCCATGGTGAAGATGACATTCATGAGCTTGGTGCAGTCGTAGGCCTGGCTGGCGTTCTTGGTCCGCTCTTCCCCCGTCAGCAACTTCAGGTCCATCTTCTTGACACAGAAGTGCCGGAAGGAAGACACGTTCACGATGCGCGCCGGAGCAGAGGCCATCATGGTGCCTGCACGGAGGAGCAGTGAGGGGAACCAAAACCCTCTGAGGGAGCTCCCACCAGCAGCGGGGAGCCCACCCACAGCCTCCCCTTCCCACCAGCATCTCCCTCCCTCTCTCTCTCTCTCTCTCTCTCTCCCCTGTCTATTTCTTGACACCAAAGGCCGGCACAGTTGAAGACTCTCTTCATTCCTGGATTCATCCTCTTGGTACCCATGTTTTCAGGGGGGGCGGGGCTTAAATTTTTTTAGCAGCGGGTTCTCTGCCCAGTTCTGGGTGCACGTAGCCATGGTGGGCGTGGCCTAGTCAGCCTTCTGCACCATGGCGGCGGGGGCATTTTTACTCTCCCCAGGCTCCAGAGGGCCCATTTCCAGCCTTCCTGAACCTCCATGCGCGCCCTGCACTTACCTGCATCCAAAACAGGCTGCGTGGGTGTCTCCTGGGAGGAGCGGGAAGGGGTGGGCAGGGCCAGCCAGGAGTGAGATTTTGGGGGAGGGGGTTTTCTCCGAACTTTACAGAATGTTAGCTAGGGCCTGGACCCCTGCGAACCCCCAGCAGCCCAACCCTGCAATGATAGTTGCACTGTGGCCCTAAATAATGGCCTCCACAGTTAGGTCTCCTTTGAGGTCCCACCATTTTATTCAGTTCTTTCTTTGCTGACCTATTTAAAACAGTTGGTATCCTGTAGCTGCTTCTCTTCAAAGCAACCTGTGCAACTTACAACCCGTAAAACAGCGCGGAAGGGTAAAAGCAACAATAAAACCAGTAACGGAAGAAACTGGTCGCCCAGCCTCTCTTCTCTAGGGCAACCCCCCACCGTCCCACCTTGATCTCCCCCTGTCCCAATGCCTGAGGGAAGAGCCAGTCCAAAGTGCTCCTGGGGGGGGGGGCTGTCAAGATCCCAAGAGGGAGGGTGTTGTGCAGGGCAGGGGCTGTCAGGGCAAAGGCCGGCTTCCCAGGAGACAGAGGATGGCAAGGGGCCTGGCGCATGGCCACCCTCCTATCTACTCTGGTGGGATGGGCAGAGGTCCTCCAGGAGAGGTTCAATGAATCAGAAGAGAGCTGGAAGGGACCTTGGAGGTCTTCTAGACCAGCCCCCTGCTGAAGCAGGAGAACCTACACCATTTCAGACAAGTTTGGCTGTCCAGTCGCTTCTTAAAAACCTCCAGGGATAAAGCACCCACAACTTCTGGTGGCAAAGCGGATCCACCAGTTAATTGTCCTCACGGTTAAGGAAGTTTCCCCCTAATTCCAAGTTGCTTCTCTCCTGGATTAGTTCCAATGGCGCTTTTTTGCCATTTTCTTATTTGTTAGTTTTAGGCCAATTTCATTACTGGGGTTATTGTAGTTTTCCTTTTTTTTATGAGCCATGAGAGATGCCTATGGAGATTCTCAACCATCCAGGGTGACGGTTTCCTCAAAAGTGCTTTGACCTGCAGCCTGCCTGGTCTCCACTCTGTAGGGCTTTAAAGGTGCGGGAAAGGAGAAAGGAGTTTGTTTTTAAAATAGAAATTGTAGCAGGACATACTAATCCTTGAAAAGGAAACACTGTGCATTTATCTAATCTCATAAATGTTGCTTGAGCTCAAAGCTGCACCTAGAGGCAGAGGGCGAGAGGCCCTCGCTACGCTCAAAAACTGGTTTGGGCTGGAATTTGCCCGGCAACTAGAGAGAAACCTCAGAAACTGAATAGTTATTAGACATAAATTGTAAATAAAGGGCAGGGGAAAATGTATTCATTTTAGGTGCCTCGGATAGATTGTGACGGCCGAGTACTCAACCAATGAGGAAAAGGTGGGAGGCAAACTTTGTGAAGGTGATATAGGGAATATACAGAAAGTATATTGATGGCTTAAGGTGTGTCCACTCTACAGGTGTGAACGTGATACACCCTCTTTGCAAAGTAGTAATAAAATTCCCCATTGTTGTATAGGTAAACAGATAACAGATAATCAGAGTTGGAAGGGATCTTATAGGTCATCTAGTCCAACCGCCCCACCCAAGCGGAAGATCCTACACCATTTCCGACAAAATGGCAGTCCAATCTCTTCTTGAAGGTCTCAAGTGATGACGCTCCCACAACTTCCGAAGGCAATTTCTGTTCCATGGGTCGATTGTTCTCACTGTCAGAAAGTTTCTCCTTATTTCCAGTTAAATCTCTTCTTGTTCAGCTTCCATCCATTATTCCTTGTCTGGCCTACAAGCGCTTTAGAAAATAGCTTGACCCCTTCCTCTCTGTAGCAGCCCCTCAAATATTGGAAGGCTGCTCTCCTGTTTCCCCTGGTCCTTCTCTTCACTAGACTAGCCAGGCCCAGTTCCTGCAACCGTTCATCGTATGTTTGAGCCTCCAGTCCCCTCATCATCCTGGTTGCTCTTCTCTGCACTTTTTCTAGAGTCTCAACATCTTTTTTATAATGTGGTGACCAAAACTGGATGCAGTACTCTAGATGTGGTCTTACTAAGGCTTTATAGAGTAACATTAGTATCTCCCTTGATCTTGATTGTATCCCTCTGTTAATGCAACTTAGGATTGCATTGGCTTTTTTGGCTGCCGCCGCACACTGTTGGCTCATATTTAATTGGTTGTCCACTAAGACTCCAAGATCCCTCTCACAGTTCCTGCTATTAAGCCGGGTTTCACCCAATCTATATGTATCCTTTTGGTTTTCTTGCCTAAGAGTCGGACTTTACTTTTCTCTATACTGAATTTCATTTTGTTAGATAGGGCCCAGTGTTCTAGTCTGTCAAGATCCATCTGGATCTTGAGCCTATCTTCTTGGGTGTTAGGTTTTGACTCGCAATCATTTTAAACTAGACAACAAATCCCACAAAGGTAATGAGCAGGACCTTGAATTGCCCCCGGAAGAAAACTGGAAGCCAGCGTACCTGCCACAAGAGGGGCATTATAGGCGGTAAGCCAGGGGCGGCCAGCGCTCAGCATGTGGCTAGCTTCGGACCGGTTTTAACTTCCAGGTGATTTTCAAGGGTGGCCTGAACGGAGGGCATCAGGGCAGAAGAATTCGCTGCCACCTTCTTTGGGGCTGCATTTCCTGCTGCCCAGCCCATCCTGATTTCCGGTCATTTGTCCAAGTGCTTTTTCCAGGTCCGCCCAGGTAGATCAGAGCTACTGCCTGGCTGTGCAGAGTGGACGGTGGGAGTCTTTTGATTTCCTTTCCTAATTATCCTCAACGTTGGCCTTCTGTCCTTCTGGTTCCAAAGGGATCGACTTCTCTTTGGCTTTACCCACCAGCCGCTTCGCTGCCTCTCAGAAAGGAGCTACGGGGCATCTTGTGCCCGTGTGCATTTCCTTCACATCTTGGCAACACCCCGATCTCTCCTGGAAGTGGCACCATCAGAATCGGAGGCAATTTGGGAGGGATTCCCCTCTTTAGAAGGGGCTGACCCCCCCTCAATATCTGGCACTGAGAGAGGATTTAGAGCAGGGGTCCCCAAACTTGGCAACTTTAAGACTTGTGGACTTCAACTCCCAGAATTCTCCAGCCAGCTATGTCTGTTTTTTTTGTTTTTTTCTCTTAACCTCCCAAAGTGGAGAGGTTGCAGAAAAAGGGATTGCAAGAGAGTAAGCTACGCTGGCTGGAGAATTCTGGGAGTTGAAGTCCACAAGTCTTAAAGTTGCCAAGTTTGGAGACCTCTGATGTAGAGGGTTTCAGGTGATGGGGGAAGCCGGGGTATCAACAACCTTCCGGTTGCATGCAGGAGAAGCTGGTCCTTACCAAGCAGCAAGTGGGTGAGGAGGAAGGCCCCCGAGACGTTGGTGGCAAATGTGAGCTCCAAGCCCTCAGCCGTCACAGCAAATGGCAGGCCTAGACAGGAGAGAGGATGGAGGAAGGCAGCTTAAGAGGTTTTGGGATTGGGTCTCTGGGCTCTGGAAGGAGCCACCCGTCTTGGGGAAGGGTCTGCCTCTTTCTCAGCCTTGGTGTCAGGTGAGTGGTGTCTCAGAGTCAGCTAGCTATCAGCATTCCAGCACTTAACCCCATTTAGATCATAAGTCTCGAGCTAAACTTCCAAAACTTCAAAAGGATTTATTGGGAATTAAACTGTCCGGCATTGCCTGGGTGTAGCCGACTCTGAGACACTTCATTCACTGTCACCCTTGACCCTGCTTTTCCCCCACCCCCTGGGTGTATCGTAATCCATATTCTCCAATGGGACACCTCCATAGCCAAAAGTCGTCAATCATGCTCTCCAGTTAGAATTTTGCGTGGCAGAAACTTCAGTCACCCAGTTACTATCTTTGAAAACATTTATGGAATGCAGTTTCGGTTTTGCAAGTTGCTGCACTGCTCCCCCCCCCTTTCTGTTGGCAACTCTCAAAGACCACAGAACTATTTTATGAGTTGACACTTGGGTCCTTAGGGGTGACGCTTCCGCATCTCTGGCCTGCTCATCTCTGACCCAGGCAAACAGGGCATAGCTGCCTGGTGCCCATTACCTGTGACACCCGCATTGTTCACCAGGATGTGCAGCTGGCTCCCTTCCTCCAGGAACCTCCTGGCGAAGGCACGGACGGAGGCCATGGAGCTGACGTCCAGCAGACCGAGCTGTACCTGGGGGTTCCCCGTGGCTCTGCGGATCTCCTCCACCGCAGCCTGGCCTTTCTCCCTGCAGCGGCAGGCAAGGATTGTGCGGGCGTTCCGGCGTGCCAAGTCGAGAGCGACAGCCTTGCCAATTCCTGCAAAGGATGGGCATCAAGAGCAGCTGCCCTGGGACACCAGGGCAGCACCTGCCCACCCCCCACCCATCCATGGGGCCATGGATCCTGAGGGCTGAGCCAAGGCTGAGCTGCATGCTGTAAAGTTGGAGAACTGCAACGCCAACTTTGTCTCCGCCACGGGCCTTGCACCTGGGTTGGGATTCAATTTTTTTAACAACCGGTTCTGTGGGCATGGCTTAGTTGGTGGGAATGGTTTGGTGGTCATGTTGTTGGCTGGGCGTGGCCAACTCAATATCACTCACATCGAGGCACGCATCTCCTCGCCTGGCCTCCCATGACTGTGGGGATGCTGCAACAGTCGTAAGTGTGAAAAATGGTCATGTCACTTTTTTCAGTGCCATTGTAACTTTGAATGGTCATTCCACACAAGCAAAGTACCAGCAAAGGAGGGGGAAAAAAAACTCCAGAGACGTTCCTGAGACAGGAAGTCTAGCCCTTCCAAAAATGTAATAAGGGTTAATGGAGAGGCAGTTTCTGTAAGCAACACCAGAATGTTTCCTTCCTGCCTTCCTTACAGGATTAGGCCAGTAATTTCTTCTAACGAACGGTTCTCCCAACTGCTTAGAATGTTAACAACCAGTTCTAGCGAATAGGTGCAAACCGGTAGAATCCCACCCCTGCCTTGCACACGGAGCAGGTTCAAAGCAGGTGGCGCAAACTGGGTTGGGAACCGTCCCAACAGTGGTGATCCCTTGCCAGTCCCCTGCAGTCAGACGGAGGCAAAATTGTAGGTGCCAGCTGCAGCAGGGCCACCCCTCATCATGGCCAAAAGGGGCCCCAGGAGACATGATGGGCGCATTCCTACGATGGGAAAAAGGCCTCTTGAGGCAGGAGGGGAGGGGAAAGGGGATTGCAGGGGGCTGGGGGACTGAAGGATTCTCCTCCAGCAGGTGGCCACTGGGCAACTGAGTGTGAGTTCTGAATGTGGGGGAGGGGAGGGTCCAGGGGGCTCGATTAAATGCCCTCCGTGAGAGCCCTGCATTGGCCAGGGCTGCCCTCCCTAGGGCTCCCTGCTCTTCATCAGGCAGCGGCTGCCACTTTGGCTGCCCTTATCTCCCAGTGGGCAGGGAGGCTGCAAGCAGAGATGGCCGGGTGGACTTCCCAATTTCCTCCAAGAGAGAGAAAAACCATCCTCCGTTCAGGACGGGCCAATGGTGGGTGACCGGGGGGGCGGAGCTGGCATCGGGTGACCCAAAGGAACACCCTCCTCTGAGGGAGACAGACAGGCTGGCATCCCACCCACCCCGGCCCCTCCCCAAAGCCTGGAGACTTCCATAACTTATAATCAAATTATGACCGAGAAGCGTCCTAAACTGGGAGCCTTATTAAATATCAGAGAGCAATAATGTATATACAGTTCATCGTAATTCTGAGAAAATGGAATGTACCGCGTCTTGGTCCCCGGGGTGCAACTCCTGGCACACCACCCCTAATGGGGGGGGTGTGTGCAATGGTCTGAAAGGAAGGGGCCATTCCCAGAGGGAGGAAAAGGTGACTTTCCTGCCACAAGGTTCTCCCCCTCCTCCCCCAGGTGCCCTTTGCCTTTTCGTGGGCAGCAGGAATACAAGGCCCGGCCCCTCCCTCCACCAGCTGGCTCTAAACAGGGAGGGAGGGAAAGTATGATGATCAAACAAGGTCATGCCAAAGTTTTCTCCCTCTGCCCTTTCCCTGCTCAAGCCCACCTTGGAGACAGAAAGGGTTCAGTCCCAGCTCCCAAAGGCTCAGCAAGGTCTCCTTCGCCCCAGCGGCTTCAGGGGCAGCCATCTTGGCTGGCATTGGGATGTCCTCTCTACCCTCCCAAAAGACGGGGGTCCCCACCTGCCCTCAGCCACCATCGACAGCAGCCATTCTTTAGCAGCCTGCCTGACCGAACTGGCCGGCCTTACTTAACTTACTTATAGATGAATAGAGTTAGAAGGGACCCTGTAGGTCATCTAGTCCAACCCCCACCCCACCCAAGCAGGAGACCCTACACCATTTCTGACAGAGGGTAGTCCAGCCTCTTCTTGAAAGCCTCCAGGGATGAAGATCCCACAACTGCACACACACACACACCAACGTCAAGACTGTTGCCCCCCCAGGAATATTTGGGGTTGCCGGCCTCGGGGATGGCCCTTCTTCCCTCGGACAGAGGTAAGGGAGCCTCTTTCCTCCCAGGTCCGCCAGGCAACGTGTCCAGAAACACCAAACCAGACAATCCCTTTTCTGGGTTCCTTTAGGAACACCGACCACATTTGAAGGCTTTGTGCCGCGTGCTGCATCACCAAGCAAAAGGCCCGAAACCCAAACGAACCGGGATTGTGGAAACGCATCCGCTAAGGCCTGAGCCGATGTGGCTCAGAGGCTCAGACTCACCGCTGCTGGCTCCGGTGACAATGGCCGTCTTGCCGGTCAGGTCTACGGGACAAGCGTCCGGCCTCCAGCTCTTCTTCCTTTGGACCCACAGCAGCGCCAGGAGGGCCAAGGAGCAGATGAACCAGAGCGGGTGGCAGAAGAGAGCGGCCGCCTCCATCGCAGGCAGTCTTTTCTGGAGCAGCTCCGGAAGAGGACTGCCCGGCCGGAGGCCCGAATGAAAGAAAGGCCCGGTCTGGCGTTCAGACAGAGGAACGCTCCCAAAAGGTCAGCCAGTGTTCTCTGGGCAGAGTCCACTTTCAACAAACGGTCTGCCCATTTCTTGGACTGAAGCCATGCTGCAGGACTTTGGGAAGGCCAACGGGAGGTCAGCTGAGGAGAAGGAGGAAGAGGAAGAGGAGGAGGAGGAAAAGTGTTATAACTGGGAGATCGGTTCCGGGTAGATCGGCCCCGGGTAGATCGGGCCGCATTGAGACGCGAGACTCAAAGTGTACATTCAGCCCTTTATTGGTTATGCAGTTAGGTACAGGACCTGCGCTCAGCGTGGCTTTTCTTATAGAGCCGGCCGGCGGCTCGGCGGCCAATGACAGGGCTTTGAATCTCCCGCAATCGGCTCGGCCAATCGCGGGAGGTTTCTAGCGCACCAATCACGGCCGCTCAGTTGACCAATCAAATTGCAGCCCGTGCGGACCAATCGGATTGCGAGGTTTGGAGAATGCTAATATAGAACCAAAAGGAAGAGGAGGAGGAGGAGGAAAAGGAAGAGGAAGAGGAGGAAGAGAAGGAGGAGGAGGAAGAGGAGGAGGAGGAAAAGGAAGAGGAGGAAGAGGAGGAGGAAAAGGAAGAGGAGGAGGAGGAAGAGGAGGAAGAGAAGGAGGAGGAGGAAGAGGAGGAGGAGGAAAAGGAAGAGGAGGAGGAAAAGGAAGAGGAGGAGGAGGAAGAGGAGGAAGAGAAGGAGGAGGAGGAAGAGGAGGAGGAAGAAAAGGAAGAGGAAGAGGAGGAGGAGGAGGAAGAGAAGGAGGAGGA